CTCACATCAATAAAGATAATAACTATTATATAATATTTAATAGTTATTGTTGTACAGCCATTTTTCAGTCATATCCTACTTTTCATGAACTCATTTGGGATTTCTTGGCAAAGATACTGGAGTTGTTTGCCATTTCCATCTCCAGCTCATTTTACAAATAAGGAAACTGAGGCAAACGTGGTTAAGTGACTTTCCCAGGATCACACAGCTAGTAAGTATCTAAGGCCAGATTTGAACTCATGAACATGAGCCTTCCTGATTGCAAGCCCAGTGCTCTATCCACTGTGCCACTTAGCTGCCCATACTATTTAATAAATAATATGCAATAACATATATGATATACAATATATGTGATAATATAATATGTGATATATGATAATGTAACATATGATGCATACTGAATGTATTTTAGATGATTCCTCCTTCATAGTATGAATGAATTCTTCAATGTACAAAATGATTTCACTGAAGGACTACTTTAGTGGCCTATTTAAATAATAGTACCACTGCATTTAAATGTTGGTTTACAGATCATTAACCACTTGACAGGGAAACTAAAGGGGCAACTGTTAGAAACCAGTGCTAATTTAAGGCAGAGATTAAAATAAAATATCTCTGAAATTCTAATGTAAATGGAAAACTTTTTTTAAAGATGTTATTACTTACACATGGCACACATGGAGTCATAAGGGCCAGGGAGGATCTTAAAGATCATCTACTCCAACTTCCTCATCTTATAGATGAAGAAACCAAGACCTAGAAGGATATATTAAGTACTTTGCCCAAGTTGATATAGCTAGTGAGTAGGACAGCTATGGCTAAAACTCAGGTCTCCAACTCCCATATATTATGCAATATAAGATTTGCCAGTATGGATGAAACTATGATAATGATATTTCTTTGAATCAAATCTCTGTTGATGTGGGTGGTTAATCAATAATAAAACCTGTAGCATAGCCACATCTTTCAGATACATTCAACCTATAGTTGAGTCTGAAAATGTATGAACTAAGGGTTCTCCAATGGTAAATTATTTGATTTCACAGAACATTCCTGTATTCCACTGTTATCCTACCACTTAAATCAAGTACACTTGAAGCCAATTCAAAAATAATAATGCTGGTGATGATGTAACAATGATGATAATAATAGCATTTACATGCGTTATCTGATTTGTTCCTCATAAGAACTTTGGAAATATGTATTCTTTTGTCTCCATTTTATGTTCGAGCTAACTGAAACTGAGACAAGTTTAGTGACTTGCCCACAGCTAAGTGTCTATCGGGCTTTGAACTCAGGTCTTCCTGACTCTAGGGTCTAGGTCCTAAACTCTCTCTACTCTACTACCTAAGGTGCTTTAGCAATCATTAAAAATAACTGGTTTTGAACACGTTTAATGTACCAACAAATATTAATACTTAGATACTTTATTGATTTTGTGATGCATGTAACAGACACTCCCAATCTACCTATCAAGTGATAAGCCATCCATGCTTCATCATCTTGTTCGATTCTTGTTCTTAAGCTGATTCTAAAATTATTACTCTCATTATACTCTTCACTAACAAAGATTCTTCTTGAAATACACACAGGATACTTCCTTAGTATCCAAATCATTGCTCTTCAATCAAGTGCAGTAGATGGGCTGGGGATAGGAATGGGAAGGAACACTTTTTAGATATTTTCCATGTCTGATTTCAATATAGAGAGCTATCATTTTCTCATATTGAAATTTCCTGTTGAGAGTTTTAATGGATGAATTTCTTCAGCTGAAAAAAATGTTCTGCATCTCTGGAACAAGTCTGAAGCATTTTTTCTTAATTATTCTGAATTATTTGCAGTCACAGGAGGGACTTTTTTTTCCTCACATCATGTGATTCCCGAGGATTTGTTTTCAATTAAAGTATTGTGACAGGAACTAGAAAATCAAAGACAAAAAGGCAACTCAGTTGAATGTCTTTGGTGAAAGAATTCATCTGGGAGTTTCATGATAGTTTTCTGTTTCAAATGCCTACCATTTTTCATCACTATTTTGACATCTTTCTTAGGTTGTAAGAAAGAAAGATGCAACCAAAATAAATATGAGATAATGGAGGGGTAGAAATTACATAATAGGTGAATATTAGTTAAGCTTTGAAAAATACAAAGGATCATAAAAAGTGGAGTTGAGGAAAGGATGCACTCTAGGAATAGTGGACAGACTAAGAAAAGGTACCTTTCAAATGGTTACTGACAGAATACTTTAAAAAAGAAAATTTTTTTTCAATCTTTGGTATTCATTTGGGATTTTTGCTTCCAGAGTATGTCTACTTTGGGTTTTTTTTTTAAAGATATAATTTGGTAACCATAATTACTTTGTCAATAATAATAAATCATCTTTATATAGCTCTCATTCTTCCCATAGCTTTGTTGTTTATTGTTGTTAAGTTGTTTCAGTAGCATCCAACTCTTCATGAACCCATTTTGGGTTTTCTTGGCAAAGATACTGAAGTGGTTTGCCATTCCCTTCTTCAGTTAATTTTACACATGAGGAACTGTGGCAAACAGAATTAAGTGACTTGTCCGGGATCACATAGCTAGTATGTGTCTGAGGCCAGATTTGAACTCAGGTAGATGAGTCTTCCTGACTTCAGGCTTAGCACTCTATCCACTGTGCCACCTAACTTCCCTACTTCCCATCACATTTTCCTCACTTCTGGTAAAGTAGTTGTCTCCAATTTACATAGTAGAAAACTGAGGTACAAAGAGGTTAAGGGATATACCCAAAGCAGTGACAGAGCTGGGAGTTGAATACGGGGCTTTTTGGCTGAAGAACCAGCATTATTTCCACTATATTATATTACCTCTGAAAGGACTTTTTTCAGGAGGAAGTAAAGGTTTCATGGGTAAAAAGTAAAGGTAGCTAGATAGTACAATGGATAACGTGGTTGGTATAAAGTCAGGAAAACTTTAAGTCAAATATGACCTGACACTTACTAGCTGTATGACTCTACACAGGATTCTGATCTTCAAATCTGCCACAGTTTCTTCAACTGTAAAACAGGGACAATAAAGTATCAACCTCATCAAGTTATTGTAAGAATCAAATGTGATAACATTTGTAAAGCACATTTGTAAAACATTGTAAAGCACAGTGCTTGGTATATAGGTAATTAATAAATGCTTGTTTTCTTCCCCCTTCCCCTAAAGACTTGAAAATGGTTGATTCAGAAGATCCATTAATCTGCTTTAAGAAAGTTACACAGACTGGAAGTAGCATTGTGAATTATTATTCTTCAAGTGTAGCAGATGGCTGCAACCATATTTTATTAAGTTGTTCAGAATCTCATGCCTATATTACTGCAACAGCATCATTGCAATGCTGCAGCAGCATGTTTTATGCAAATGCAACATCTTCATAGGTATGAATTCCCCTTTGCCAAAAGTTTTATGTCTTTACAGACTTTTTCCTGCTTAAAATGGTCATCAGGGTATTGGGATGAAAGTCAAGACAAGTCAGCAAGCTTTTTTTAAGCCTTAGGATGGATGTGCCAGGTTATAGATTAAACACTGGGGATTTGAAGAAAGGCAAAAATAGGTCTTGCCCTTGAGGACCTCACAATCTAATGGGGGAGACGACATGTAAACTAGATACACACAGAATACATTTGAGACAAAAAAAAAACAGAAAGAAGGCACTGGCATTGGGGGGAAGGGGTAACAAGAATGACTTCTTGTAGAAAGCAGTTTTACCCAAGACTTAAAAGAAGACAAGGAAGCCAGGAGACAGACAAAGAAGGAGAGAATTCCAAGCATTCATGAAAGCCAGTGAAAATGCCCAGAGTGGAAAGATGTAGTGTTCCTGATGTGAGGAAGAGCCAAGAGCCCAGGACCACTAAATAGTAGAATATGTGGAGGAGAGCAAGATGTAAGGAGGATAGAAAGAGAAGATGAGGCCAAGTTATGAAAAACTTTGAAAGCCAAACAGAGGGTTTTATATTTAATCCTAGAAGTAATAGTAGCTATTGGAATTTATTTAATGGTGGGAGTGACATTCTCAGACCTGCATTTTAGGAAGATCACTTTGATAGTTGAATGGGGAGTAGCTTAGAACTGGGAGGCCTACGATAATACCTTTGCAACAGGCCTGGCATGAACTTATGGGGATCTGCAAAAGTATGGTGGCAGTGTCAAAGGAGAGGAGGGAGCAAATGTGAAAGATGTCATGACGATAAATAGAAACCTGAGAAGGTGGGGGAAAGAAGAGGAGAACCACATAAGGTTGACTGGATCCTCCATTTCTAGTGGGAAAATGGTAGTTATTGCTTCATTGATATAAAAATGGAAGAGGCCTTAGGTACCACTGAATCTAATTCTCATTATATGGATAAGAAAATAAGGCACACAGAGATTAAGAGACTTACCCAGGTTCACACAACTGATAAGTGCCTGATGTAGGATTTGGAATCAAGCATTTCTGACTCCAAATCCAGTGCCTTCCACGCTCTCCCTCATTCATCTGAGGATGAAGTTGAACTTTTCAGCTGTAGTAATAAGCACTGAAATATTAATTCTGCTAATTTTTCCCACTTTAGGAATGTTTCAGACTAATCTCTGCTGGAAACTTTATGAATCACTCCTGGTTTTCAGAGAAAGGTACATTTTTTAAAGAAATCTTCAAATGTTTTGACCTTAAGCCCATAGGTCCTAAGACAACAAGTAACTCCAAAGGCATAAAACATTAGCAAGATTCAAAGATGCAATGACATTTTCAACATTAACATAAGATTTGACCTTTTAGATTCAGTCTTGTGGGATGTGGTCTTTAGCATGTTTTCCCTCTGTTATTTTTAAAAGACATTATTCAATGGCATACCTTAAAACTTCAACTTTATGAATACTCTAGCTGAGAAAAAGTATCCTACAGTACCATCTAGCATACTACAACTCAATTTTATTTTAGCCTTCTCAACATTTAAAGGAAGCTTCATTTCCATCTTACTTGAATTAAATTGGATCCCAAAAGATTACAGATAAAGCTACAAAGAAGTAAAAATATAACCACAAACAGAATGACATCCAAGAATCAGGCCAAATTAATGCACAGTTATTTTATTCACTGCTATAAGATTGGTCGTATTTCAGTAACTTTTAAAGATTTAATACAAAATAATTATATTTTCTACTTTGGACAATGAAAATTGGTTAAAATGTGACAAACCATAGTATCTTTCAGAAAGAATTACATGGATATGGCTCAAAGCCACTTGATTGACTAAGAAGGTCTAAGGTTTGAGCATTACCCTTGGAAAATGATGCAATTAAGAACACTTGGATCTGGAGAGATTCTAATTATATACCATTATAGCAAAGAAAATATGTTGCCAAAAAGAAAAAAAAATTCTCCTAAATTAACACAGAATATTATTTAGTCACTCAATTTGCACAAAGCAATCACATACAAATTAAATTAGCCACTACTACCACTCCCATTGAGTTTCCATGTGATAGTAACAAAAATGAGTTGACAATTTCTGCCCTAAGAAATTCTGACCACTTCTTGACTAAGGAAAACCAAATGATATGACATGTGTCAAACACCTTGAAAATGTTAACATGCTATATAAATGCATTATGATTATTTTAAAAAAATATATATATATATATATTTTAAAATGACAATTCTATTTCAATACAGAGTAGATTCCTTCTCAAAATGACAGTATTTTTAAAGACTTCATTTTACAAAGTTTATAAGAGATTTACATTTAGCTAAAATGTTATTGGCCAATGCTATATCCTTGTGGCTTTTTATTTGTATTCCATTACACAGGATCCAATTCTATTTCTCTTAGAAACAAAAGAAGTTAAGGCCAAAGTCAAGAAAAGCACAATTTACCACTATTAAATCTCTTCCCACTTCCCAAAAAGAAATATTAAAAACTTGAAGGCCTGAGGGAGAATTCTGTCATGTATAAGTTATGGCACCTTGTTCAATTTATTCAATATGGCTGCAGGGTTAAATAATAAGTATTTTAATATATAGAGAGAGCATCATTTGTGCAACAGAAAGACTCCATTTTCTTTGTCACAGCATTATAACTTAATGAATTCATGACTTGAAAGTGATCTCATTTGACTTGGTAAACAAAAACAAAGTATGTTAATGTATCCAAAGAAAATAGAGCTGGACAAGGAATCAATAGACCTTGGTTCTTATCTAGTCCATGAATTATCTGTGTGGCTTTATACAAGTCACTTAGCCTCTCAGACTTACTATTCTCATATCCAAAGTAAAGAGAGGAGCTTGGTTGTTTCTTTCAGGTGCTGAACAATGAGCCCTCCCCCAGGAGGAGAGTTGTTTTCAACTGCTTAGAATTTCTTTGATGGAAGTATTTCTTGGAAGCTAGATTGACACAGAATGAGGACGCATGTAGTCGGATGAAGATTCAAAGGTAGGATAAGGAGTTTGCTGCTGTTGGGTAGCAAAGCTAATAAAGACCTGCAAGACATAATGTAAATACTGAATGTTGTTAGAAGGCTATGAAAAGAAGTGGTCCATCTACCATAATCTCAACTTCTCAGAATTATTCTTGCCTTTGTTGAAAACAATCAATATTAAGAGATGAGATATTTATGTTTTTAAATTCCAGCTCAGAAACTGTATCTGTACTTTGTTGTCTCCCCCATTAGATTATGGGCTTCTCAAGACCACGGATTGGTTTGAGGGATTTTTTGCCTCTTTTTGAGCTTAATAAATGTTTATTGATCGATTAAAATTACTACTGTTTCTAATACAATTACTAATAATAATAACGATAACAATAATTTGATGCAAGGAAACATGGAATAATTGATAGAGAGCTGGACTTAGAACAAAGAAGACTTGGATTCAAGCTTCACCTGACACTTATTAGTTATATGAAACTAAGTCACTTAACCTATTAGTGATCTAGGTAACCCTCTAAGACTGTGAGTTGCAGAGAAGGTATAGACTTTCATTGGTTGAAGGAGTTGTCATCTGAGATTTCCCTCTACCAATGAAATCACAGATCCAATCCCTTTTCCTAATATTTTAATGTTTAAATGAATCTGTGATCTCAATGATGTTGGTACCTTACAGAACAAGATATTTTTAGGGACAGAAGCAATGTTAGAAGCTCTCAAAGTACAACCCTTTAATCTCAGAGGTGAGAAAGCTGGGGCTCAGAGAGATTAAACAATTTGCCCAAGAATTCACAAATAAGTGACAGGTAGGATGTGAATCCAATTGTTCTGACTCTAAATTAGAAGTTCTTAATCTGTGTGTGTGTGTGTGTGTGTGTGTGTGTGTATGTGTGTGTGTATGTGTGTGTTTGCTTATCATGAGCTCCTTTGGCATGCTGCAAAAGGGTAAGGAACTCAGTATAACTTGGTTTTTTTAATCATAATTAAATATCACGATAAATTTTACAGTCTAGTGAAAATTAAAATATATTTTTCTGTATCTATTTTCACTGACCCTGTATAGATCCCCCAAATCAGTTTTCGTTCCACTGCACCTCGTTTTCTTGTCTGGCACAAATTGCAATCCATTACTAATAAAATGAGAGCTACTTTTAGATCATACTATATTGTCTACAAAGCATTTGCCTCTTTCTGTTAGATGGAACAAGTACATTTTTCCCATTTTATAAGGGAGAAAACTGAGGCTTAGAAAGATTAAATGATTTGCCCAGGGTCGTATAGCTAGTTAATTGTACAGACTAATAAGTAATAGAAACAAGGTTCAAACAGAGATATTCCAAATCCAAGGCTGGTATTCTTTTCACACTACCATGTTGCTTCTCCAAGTAAATCCTATGAGACAATTATTTAGAATATTAATGAATCACCTAGACATTTTCTTCTGTGTAAATATGGTTATTATTTTTAATAAAAGCCAGGCCTGTGACTTGACTATCAATCCGTAGTATCGTATAAACAAAATTTAAGTTTCTTTTTCACATGTCATTTATATATACATATATATTATATATACATGCATACATACACACACATCATATGTGTCTCTGTGTGTGTATTTGTGTGTGTACTTTACACAATATTTTTTCTCATTTTGGAAAAGGAAACACTAATGGTCACCTTATAATTTATGTTATATCAGTGACTTTTGTTTGTTAGAGTAAGTAGTTTAACGACTATCTGTGTTATGTGTTTGCATGCATGCCTACATGCATATGCTTATGCTCCTGCACACAACTGTATGCATAAGAGGGATAACTTTCACCTGTGATACATTTGAATTCACATAAAAAGGGGTCAAGTTATATTAGGATTCTATCAAAGGTAACTGTTAGCTAACATAGTATATGGAGCCCGAGATTTAACAAGTTCAGCCACTTACTATTTCTTCATGACCCTGAGTAAGTCACCTAACCTCTATCAGTTTCCATATATGCAAAATGGAAATTGTAATGGCAACTACCTGACAAGAATACTGTGAGGATCATATGAAATGTCATATGTAAATTGATTTATAAATCTTAATGCTCAATATAATTATTATCTATTATTATTACTATTATGTTTATATTCAGTATAAAATAAAACCATTTTGCCAAAAAGAATCATAGTTTTAGAAAAAATCAATGATATACCAAAACCACATATTTGACTTTTAAAAAGTTAATGTAGCTTCTAATATTTTATGTTTACTAAGAGAATTTGACCAGTGTTTTATGTGTCTAAAAATACCAGATGGAAAACTCCAAATACAAAGTGTTTACTCTGAAACACATTACCTGTTCTAAAGTAGTCTGGTTAATAGAGTAGTGTTTGATGTTCAGCAAAGTCTTATTGTTCTCTAGAACTTTGAATAAGTCTGCCAAGCACCCCCATCTTTGTGGCACATGGAACTCCAATAAATTAAGGCGTTGTCCCTAAAAACCAAATCACAACATGTGAATTAGTAAACAATAAAGCCATCAAAATCTACAGAATTGCTGAGGATTCTGCCAACAGTACATGATTTAAACCAGGCCAGCCTTTCATCTAGAGGATGTACAACTAATATTTATTGCTGGTGACTAATCTGAGTGGAAGTGAGAAAAAGAAGTTGAACTGAATGTTCTTGATTTCATTTTTTCCAGAGAGAGGAAAACTTTACTATGTTTGAACAGAGCATGAAGAAAAACAAACAAATAAATAAATAAATTTATAGTATTGCCTTCTGGAAAACCAACTGAAATCAGGGAATTGGAATGATAGTTTTTGCAGTGGGGGGGAGCAAGCTCCTGATGTATGATGATAAAGAGCCAACAGGATGGCCATATAGATGATAGTGGGGAAAGGGTACAATCTTATACCCAACAATTTCTGCTCAGAGAATATAATATATTGAATATGGGCACTAAAACTTTAATGATAAATGACATGCAAGTGAAGGAAGGAAGGTTGAAAATAAGCATAAAGAAACCAACAAAACAGTGTCCCAAGTAGGCTGGAAGTAAAGTGATTGACTTATTTTTTTTTCCACATACACAATGGTATTCTTGGAGAGTTTGAAATAATTTTACATTTATTCTAAAACCACACATTTTGCAAAGCCCTAGAGCATTTAAAACCCAGCAAAAACCAGCATATTTTTAATCACCTATTAAAATCTGGCACTCTGAAAATAATAGTTTTGTATGAGGGATACGTCTGGGGAATAGAAAGAAGCGGCAACAATAGTATCCACTTTAGCTATGCACGACAAGCTGCTTTATTTGCTTTGGAGTTGCTGAACAAAACCAGCAGCTCGTGTTATCATGGAGACCCAGGGATTTCCTGTGTCTTATAATGTGGCCAAAGCAATTCTATTTGTCTATTACATCATAGAAATAGAAAGGAAAGCATGGAAAGACATATTAAATAGTCCTTTTCACCAGAGATCATCAAACGGTGTTTCAAAACAGTGACTGAGAATTTCAGTACTACCTTAAATTGGATTCCAGGGAAATGGAGTTTGAGACCATCAGAGACGGCATTATGTTGACTTGTTTCTTGGCTTAGCCAAACTTTGACAGCATATCCAGCCCCAAACCTGGAAGATGAGTGAAACACATGAGTAAGTACTTCTGCACTGAGCGCTTACTTCTATATTGGACTCCTATATTTCTTAAAACATAAAAATATTCCTAAATATTATTTCTATATTGGTCAGACTTTCCCTTATATTGAACAGTTTGATAATAATCATTCATCTCTATGAAAATGGTAGTAATTCTCTCTGCTTATGCTGAAAATCTGTAAGGTGAAATCAACTCAAAAACTTATACCTCCTCAGCACCTCCCAACCGATTCCCTCTCATTGGTTGGAGAGGTGGGCGAGACATTGGAAATTCCTTCCGTGATCCTTCTACGTTTAAGGATAATATTTTCCTCATGATTTCCCGCCAGGCTTGTTTCTTGCTCTTCATTATCGCATCATTTTGCAAGATGAAATCAACTCAGCAACTCATACTTTCCCAGATCATTTCATACCCTGGCATGACATCATCATGCCCCAGGGCCTAATAACCCCACCACCACCCTTTTTCATGTGTTGTCTCCACCTTTAGATTCTGAGCTTCTTGATGGGAAGGGATATCTTATGTCTTTTTTTGTATCCTCAACACTTAACATAATTTAGGCCCTCAAAGAATGTTTATTGACTCTGATTCTTACTTTGGGTTTTATAACATAAATTCATTTAAATCTATTCATGGAATTTCCTAGTGCACATGATAGAAGGAGAAAAGGAAGGAAAGAAGCAAGGAAGGAAAAAAAAAGGAAGGAAACAGCCAGCCAGTTAGCCCTGGAAAAAGAGCATGGAATTGGGAACTGAAAAGCCTTGATACAAACTCTTATTCTAATCACTTAGCCTCTACAGTGGCTTATCTATAAAATGAGCAGGTTAGACTAGGTAATCTCAAAGTTCTCTTCTAGCTTTTAGTCAGTCAGTCAATAAACATTTATTAAGTGCCTGTAATATACCAGGCACAGTGCTAAGCCCCGGGAATATAAAGAAGGGCAAAATATAGTCTCTGCCTTTCAGGAATTCACTATCTACTATGAGGAAACAACAAGCAAACAAACAAATAAGCTATATACAAGATAAATAGGAAATAATTAAGAGACAGAAAGCACTAGAGTTAAGAGGGATTGGTAAAGGCATCCTATAGATGGTAGGATTTTATTTGGGGCTTGAAGGAAATCAGTAGGTGGACATGAGGAAGGGGGGCGTTCCAGGTATAGGGGTTAGCCAAAGAAAATGCCTAAGGCTGAGAAATCTTGTTTGTGGAAGAGCAAATAGGCCAACATCACTACAAGGAAGAGCAAGTGGAAGTAGTGGGGTAGAAGGCATAAGAAGACTGAAAAGAATGGGAGGTAAGTTATGAATGGCTTTGAATGTCAAACATAGGATTTTGTATTTGATGAAAATGATACCACTCAAGTTTATTGAGTATGAGAGATTGTGGTTGGACTGGAGCTTTGGAAAAATCTCTTTGGTGGCTGAATGGAGAATGTGCTGGAATGAGGAGAGTCTTATGGCAGACAAACTAACCACCAGGCTATTGTAATAATCCAGGTATGAGGTTATGAAGGCCTCTACTAGGGTAGTGACAGTATCAGAGGAAAGAAGGGGAATTAACTGTGTGATTTTGCAAACATAAAGTTAGCAATTCTTGGCAATATACGAGATATGCAGGGTGAGACATAATGAGAATTTGAGACTGATACCTAGAGCTTGGAGGTCTGGGAAGATGGTGGTGCCCTCAATAGCAGGGAAGTTTGGAAGGAGGGAGGGTTTATAGAAAATATAATGAGTCCAGTTTTGGACATGTTGAGTTTAACATGTCTGTTGGACATCTGATTTGAGATGACTGAAAGACAGTTGAAGATTTGAGATTGGAAGTCAGCACAAAGGGTAGGATTGGTTAGGTAGATTTGGAAATAGTCAGTGTAGAGATGATAATTAAAGTCATAAGAGCTGATGAGATCACCAAGTAAAGTAGTATAGAGCAAGAACAGAAAAGAGTCTAGGACACCACTCTGAGAGATATCCATAGTTAGTGTGTATGATTTAATGGGAATCCAGCGAAGGAGATCAAGAAGGAACATTCAGATAAGTAGAAGAAACAGGAAAGAGTCCCAAAAACTTAGAGAGAAGAATGTGTCAGGTAGAAGAAGGCGATCAATATCAAAGGCTTCAGAGAGGCCAAGGATAATAAGAATTAAGAAAAGGTCATTGGATTTGGCCATTAGTAGGCCAGTTTTGATGGAATGATGAGGTCAGAAACCAGATTGTAGGAAGTTTAAAAAAAAGTGCAAACATATGCTGCTACTCTGTCATCCAATAATCCCATGACACTGGGCTGTAGGCTAAAGGTCTAAGAATTTAGTAAAATAATAAAGGAAAAAGAACACCTATCACTTAAATAATTTGAGAAAGCAATTCCATATTTCATCACACATAAATAACTACTCTGCCCTTTTGGTTTGATTCTGGTTTGATAGACAGTCAGGACTGAGAAGGATAGCTGGCCCAGGAGTCATCTTTCTTCACATAGTAGGTAAAAGTAGTGACAAAATAATTCATAATTGCATAAAAGAGGCCTCATTTCAGCTACAAATTACTCTTCTCATTTACCATTTATTCATTCATTTGTTCATTCATGCATTTTTATGTAGGGGTTTACTGAGCTTTTTCTATTATGTACACAAAAATAATAATAATAACAATCATAGCTAAAGTATGATTATAAAACACTAACTATATCAAGCCCTGTGCTTTACAAATATCTCATTTTATTCTCACAACCATCTTGGGAAGTAGATGCTATTGTTATCTTAAATTTTACAGATGAGGGAACTAAAAAAGTGACTTGCCCAGGGTCACCCAGCTAATAAATGTCTGAAGCCAGATTGGAACTTAATTTTTCCTAACTCCTGGCCCAGTACTATATCTACTGTGCCACCTGGCTGCTCACGAAGCTTTCTCAGAGGAGAGCTTTGTAAAGTAATATATTTATTCAGCAGTTTTGAGTGAATAGTATGTTCCTTATTTAGATAGCTATATGCAGCTGCAATCTTACTGATGTGGGTACAATCTCCATATTCGCAGAGGACAACCCATCATTTCTGATGAAATAACTGATAAATCTCAAAAACTAACACTTCGACTTGAACCCATTTTGAAGGGCATATTTTATAGTTATGTGACATATCTGTCTGTCTTTTTAAACAAAATACATCAAACATGATTTAAACTTTTCTTGATCATTGGAGGCCATCATGATTGAGGTCCATTATTGCATAATGCTATAACATAGTTCTATGTCTACTTTTTTAGGGTTTTTTCTCTTCCCTCTCTTGCTGTTAACATATCAGATATCTCTTTTCCTTTTGTCCTCTTCATCCTTTATGGTTTTTTTTTCTTTATGATCTACAATGAGTCTGGAAGTCAGATAACCAAAGTTATTACATTAAATAAAATTCTGAGAAGATGAAGGGAAAATATAGATTACATATATATATATATATATATATATATATATATATATAAATCATAAAAAGATGAACTATTTTTCAATTCAGGTTGTCTAAAAACATTAAAAGAACTAAGAAATAAAAGTACCCACAGCTAAAGGTAAATCCCATGGACCTTTTTATTTTCTACCAGGCTCATAGCTGTTCTCTCAAGATCTGATAGTTATTTCTCCAGAGGTCAGATTGCACTGTTGTCTGTGAATCTGTGAGTAAAACAGATATGGGGCCTTAAGATCACAGATAAATCACAGCTCTGCCTGTGATACCTTGGGTAAATCACTTAACCTTTCTGGGCCTCAGTTTCCATGAGTACACAGTAATGGTTTACAAGAGATCAATGAGACATAGAAGTCACTAGAAGGAAGCCTTACAGATTGCTTAGTCCAATTCCCTCATTTATACATACATATGTGTATATATGTGTGTGTGTGTGTGTATATACATATATATGTATGTGTGTGTATATACATATATACATATATGTATGTATGTATGTGTATATATATATGTGTATATATGTGTGTGTGTCTGTGTATATATATATATGTATATATATATACATATATATATATATATATATATATATTTATATGCCGTAATCCAAATCAGAAACTGGACCCAAAATCACAAATTCAAAGCAATCTGTAAACAAGTACACAATGATGTGACATATCTGTCAATCAATGAGCATTTATTAAGTACTTGTTACGTGTCTGACACTGTGGTGAGTATTGAGGAAACAAAGAAGAGCAACAGACTGTCCTGTCCCTAAAGTCAAGGGGCTCACAGAGACAGCATCCAGAAAAATATGCACAAACAAGCCATATACAGGAAAAAATGAGAATAACCAATATTATGCCATTGCACATAAAATGAAAGGAAGACTTTTGTTCCAGAGAAAATAAAAATGATAGTAACTTCATCTATTTTCAATAATGTTTCCATACATAGACATACTACATACATACACACACACAAACTATATACAGGAAAAATTAAAGAGTCAATAGAAGGAAGATAGTCACATTAAAGTGGATTGGATAAGATTTCTTGTACAAAAAATTTAGCTAGGTTATGAAGAAAGCTAAGAAATCCAGGAAATAGAGATGAGGTTGGGGTGAATTCTGGGCATAGGGGACATTCAGTGGAAAAACACTTAAAACTTCTATAAAATGTATAAAATACTAGGGAGCCTACTTTTCAACATACACACAAGAGCTATATAACTACAACTAGGAAAAAATGTTTACTTAAAGACAGACCTAAATGATTAGGGAAACTATTAATTGCTCATGGGTATGATGAATCAATAAAATAAAAATGACAGTAATACCTAAATTATTCTACCTATTTAATGTAATATGAAACAAACTGCCAAAGGATTACTTTATAAAACTAGGAAAAAAATACTAAGAACATCAAGAGAAATGATGAAAAGAAATAGGAATGAAAGGGAGTAGGGATAGCAGCACCAGATCATAAACTATGCTACAAAGCATTAATTTTAAAAAA